ACAAATGAGGACATTATCACCAGAAGACTAAAAGTTCTTTTCGAAGATTTTATTTACGTAATAAAAATAGATAAGTAACTAATAATAATAATAATATTCTTTGACAGGTCATAGCGAGGAAGACATATGGAACGCCGTACAGAAGGGCAGGAGGCAAGTCCTCTCATAGGCCGCGTCTGTCTCCGTCACCTTTCTAGGGCCTTCTTGAGAGTGTCTAGACCGGTGTCGGCAGCGAAGCTGAGGTGGTGTGTCTAGGTGAGGCACTTCTCTCTCCGTGTGTGTGCCAAGTCTAGGTCAACCTCCCAGAAATCTTTGGTAGGCGAATCGAGATCTCGAAAGTATTTATTCTCCCTGCCCCAACACGTCGCTTATACCGAAAAGTAAAAACCCATTAAATTACCTAACGCTGACAAAGTAGCAAAATACCAAAACCACTATATTGAGAAAGACAATGAACAAACTTAATTACAAGGAATGAGAAATCAGAAAACACATAGAAACAGAACAAGAGATTTCGTGATAACCCCGGACCTTCCTTTCCACGAATATTTATTTCAATCGATAATAATAATCAAAGACGTTTCAACAACTTTCAAACAACTGAAGGTGTCTATTGGCATAAATAAACCACTCGCAAACATGAGCTAGATGACGTATATGATAACAACTTTACATACTAAATGTCAGTAGCTAAACCAAAATTTTGCCGCGACCCATTTATATAACTATACATTTAATCATGGATCACTTTACTTTGACACACGAAATTCGTCCGTAAGTCTAAAGAGTAGGTTCAGTATGAAGCGAAGACACGACACCAAAAACTAGGCCGCATCAGAACATACCGTCTGTTTTAATTGAAAATCCATTAGTGAAATAAAAGGATGACCGGCATTCAACCATCGATCCGTACCAAGGGAGATAGTTGAACTACCTACCGACAGTGCCGTTCGTTCGACCTAACACCACAGTCGAACGACCCTTACTTATCACAATACAATGTATGTAAGGGTCCTTTACTTAACTAACGGCGTAAATACTTTTTGCTATGAAAAGAAATTTAACACCCGAAAACGGGGGGTAATCGTGACCCGACGGAGTGATAATCCTACCCAATTGTACGTCTCCTCGTGATAAAGTGCACACACCGTACGTACACACTGGGTAATTTGCTCCAAAGTAGGAAGTTTAAGAAGAAGAAGATAATCTACGTGATAAAGGAGACGAACTTAAAATATTTTTCGGTACTAATTGGTACTTGTATAAACGTGTTCGTCGATGACTTGTAGTTCACTCGTCGACAAAATGGCTCTGCAAATGGTAATCTCTGTGTCTGATATAGAAAATGGGGCGTCTCAAACGAGGGACCTATGGCGTCAGGCTTGACTACTAGTCTACGTTTTCTGAGCTTGGCGTCGCTTCTGCACCAGGTGCCCACGGGCCCCGGAGCTTGCCTCCCTGCGGTGGAGCCGGGACTCCCTGCGGTATTGAGACGAGACCGGTGCGGGTGTCGCTTCTAGCAGATACGGGAAAAAGAGAACGGGACGTTAGCGGTGGAGATACGGAACGGTGAGCTAGGACTCCTGCTGGGCAGGCAGTGCTAGATGCGTGGGGTGCAACCCCGTGGACTGCCTCTCCTTTGTCAGTAGTCCACTTTCCGAAAGGGAAAAATCACTGCATCCTTGAATCAAGAATTTCCGTTCCGTTCAAGTAAGTATGATCGTTGGAAAGTTGTGTTCCGTTAGGTTTCAGGAAATGTTTTGCTTTCTGTAAATTTCTTTACCGTAAATTTTCGTCAGCAATTTTCGATTCTATTTATTTTTTGTAATTTTTTTATGTACCTAATTTTTAGTGTCACGTCAAATTCTACACACTATAAGTTAATTTTCGTCGCCTGTTTTTTCTTTTTCGGAAGTCGGACCTAAAATTTTTCATCAGTCTCAACGTCGCCATGCGACGTCCAAGACCTCAACCAAGGTTCTTATAAACCTCGTATTATCCTTGAAGGGTTACAAAAGTCAAGACTGAGACCCCTGCTCTTCGACTGGCAGGGGACTTCTGGACTCTCTAGACCTTGACCAAGTAGGTTTAAAATCGTCACTCCAGTCTTTACATAAATCCCGCGGATTGGGTAGTCACGAACCTATTTGTCGTCGTCATAAAATTTAGATAAGAAACTGTGTGTCCTTCGGTCTCATTTCTGAAGTTCTTTGTCCTCGCTACACTAGGTGAGAGAATCCCAGTCGACTCCTGAGCTGAATTTTGGCCTTTGGTGAAGGTCGGTACGGGCGGACCTTCTTAGTTACAAATAAAATTTCACAAACACAATCTTTACACATTTAATGAACCCGGGGACAGAGGGAGGAGACGTTGCTTTCGACGCCGGTAGTGCTTAAACTAACCGCTGCCTGGCCAGTACCAGGGACCGGTCTCCTTACTAGAGCGAACTACGGGAAGTGGTAGCACAGGTCAAAATCGCACTCGGAAGTCCCCTGTCAGCGCCTGACCTCTGTCTTTTGCCTTGCAAATGGTTGTTAAAGGGAGGCGGACTAGATTACCGGCTAGAGATGCAACGGTTACAAAACACGAAAACGTTATTGCAGNTACAGTTTTCTATACAGCGGACTACAACATGGATGTATAATAAGAACGAGGGCCTACTGTAAACTCATCTAGAGACTCTGCACCGTGCTCTGATGCTGTTGCTTTATGCTTTATGAACGTGGACAACAACAGCATCAGAGCACGGTGCAGAGTCTCTAGATGAGTTTACAGTAGGCCCTCGTTCTTATTATACATCCATGTTGTAGTCCGCTGTATAGAAAACTGTAGTTACCATAGTTTCCCCACAGCAGCAGACGTACATTTATGACGTCCGCTGGCGCATCATAAACACGTCGGATAGGGAAAGTGCAGTCGGATTCTCTAGAGCACCGCAGTCTCTTCTCCTAAGTCCTTTTGAATTCTCCTATCCACTATCCCTTAACCCCGTGACATTTCACTCAGAGGTCAAGGAATAGACGATAGGGTTAGACGTTAGGAGCTGATTTTTGGATTATCCGACCGCAACCCTACCCCTAAAAATGAATTTAGGAAGGAAATTATAAATCCTGGGTAACATAGAGTTCTTTATTGTGTAAGAAAAAGTAAATGTACTAACATTGAGGCTTCTCTTGGTTAGGGACAATAAGGTGATAAAATATGTCTTAGAGTTATGTTTGGCATTCTTTACCAAGTTTACCAGGGCTAATGATTAACTGACAAAGATATGAAACAGTATGACGTAAGTGGAAACCTGGTAGGGGGGGATTATTTGGATTTGCTCAGCAAATCTCCTCAACAAAGGTGTCCTGGCTGCATGAAACTGTAGGTGTTCAAACCGAGCTCTGTGCGGAGGTGAAACCTACAGTAAGAGTGAAATGGAGTGCAAAGTGGATTTGGAAAAGTGTCCATACAGAGGTAGTCCTCTGAACACCTGGCTCTGCTGGCTGTCTTTGGTTTCAGATTGCTGTGTTTTTACTAAAACCTATAAATCCTTTGAAATGCTCAAGCCATCCAGCTCACAGACTTATAAGTAAAGGTGTCGTATGAACTGTACCCATTTGTTTTTGTTGTTGTATCAACTTTATTTGAAGAAGAATCAACTAGAGTGTAATGAAAAAAGTGTCTTGTAAGTATACTAAAAAAAGGCATAGGCTGTAAGGTACATCAGAGATTTATTGACCAACCACGCGTAACACTAAACCCACCGACAGCCTGGCCTTCATGCCCGAAATTCCAGATGTAACTGCCCTGCATGGTGACGGTGAACCTGGCCTTGACTTGGTGGGGCTACACGCACAACCTCCCTCTTCGCTCGTCGCTGAAGCATATCACATAGCAAAACTTGAGAAGCCCTGACAAAATATGACCTATAGGCTCCACGCCCCATGGGACGGGCCTTCAGCCACTGAGGGGTGTTAATCTCTGCTCTCTGACCTTCTGCGCCTCCCTCGTTCTTGGACACATTTTGGGGGTCACACAGATGACCAGATAGCTGCCTTTAAAAAAAAAAAGAAGCTTTACCCTCAACAGCACACTGCAACCAAATAGTTATGTAATTCCCCCAAGGCAGATGCCTATCTGACCCAGCAGATAGATCCCTGCCAAGGTTTACATAACAAATGGCAAACAGGGCAATACAGTAGCAGGATGGAAACCTAGCTTCTAAATATGAAGACCTGATGTTACTATAACTGTACCATAACATAACTGTGAATGCTTCTCATTGTTTCTTGACAGCCAAGGTTATGTGTTCAGCAGAGGTCTTCACATTTGAACACACAGCATTATGGTTAAATAGTTTGTTTACATTCAGCTCCTTGTCCTATAACTGGGTTAGCTGCCATACAGTAAACTGCCTTATGTAATTCATCATTCTCAGAGCGTAAACTGGTTGCATCACTCAAAATAGGCTACTGTGTTTCCAGACAAACCGGTTACAACGTTACTGTTTGTTCTAATTCCAGCCATGTGACTGTGACTGGCCTCGGAGGGAATATTGTGCACATAACTCATCCAATGCGTCGAGTAAAAAAAAAAGACAAAGGACATGCATTTTAGATGCGATTTCAATCAAAGCCCCACAATCTTATTTGTCTATTAAATGTCTGTGCATAAGTGCAAGATGTCACGTTTGGTCAATTTATGAGATAATTATGTGTAGTTCACGAAACCCCACGCTGCTTAAAAAGATTAATGATCTGAAATACCTCCCTGATGGGATTTTTCCTCATTTGCTGTACGTTCTCAGACTGATCTGCAATTTCCATAAGAATGATAATGAGAGCGAGAGGTATAATGAGTACCAGACGCTCATAAAAACGCAAATGGTACAAATGTGTGCGTGTGAATGTGTGTGTACCTCTGTAAGTTTTACAAGCAGCATGCGTTTTGTTTTTGTTTTGATGGAGGAAGGAGGGGAAGGGGGGGGCTTTGTGGGTGAGTGGGAAGATTCTTACCTTCCATCCTGCAGAGCTGTTGCTGTCGCCTTTGTCTTTGAAGTAGGGTATGGATCTCACCATCCAGTCATAAATTTGAGACAGTGTCAGCCTCTTGTCCGGTGTGCTCTCAATGGCTTTGGTTATCAGGTCTGCGTAGGAGAGGTTACCCCAGGCGTTACGGCGAGATGATGCTTTCCTCGGGGTCTGCTGAGCAGCCAGGCCGCTGGGAGTCAGTGCGCCAGAGTTGGCTGTCGGGGAGTGCGAGGAGTGCGGGGAGCCTCCGCTCTCCTGGCCGGAGGAGGACAGCCCTCCATCGGCCACGGGGCTGCTGCTGCCCTGGTCCTCTGTTGCCAAGCCAGAGCCATCGTTAGCCGTAGTGGTGGCGTTATCATCCTCATCATCCTCCTCCTCAGGTATAATATCTGTGTCATTATGATCTGGTTTCACCGCGTTAGAGTCTGGTCGAGGTAGCGGCCAGGTGCAAGATCTGGGCCGCTTCTGGGGCTCGAAGTCCGGATCAATGATCACTTCTAGGTCCGGGAGTGTGTCGGGGAACGAAGCCTCAGCCATTATCTCCCGCTCCGGTTACAATGTAGCCCCCGATGCCAGGTAAAGTTACAAGACAAGAAATGAGGAGCTGTCAAAGTCGCGTCCCATGAATGCGCGCTCCCTTCCTTTGTTGCTATTCCACACCAGCGAAGTCCCACCAGGGCCACGAGCAACTTAGTTATTAGCGCCTGTTGAGGACATGGAGACAGAAAATAAAGCCAACACACTCGGTTAGAGTCGAACGAAAACACAACCTAACAGATGCGATGCAGCGCCTGATTGTGTAGGTTTATTCTATTTCTGTCAATCACGCTACTCCAAACGAAAAATAGTAACACATATTTAAATCCTCGCCTGAGCTGAGCTGGTCTTCATTCTAAAACACTACTTGCTCATCTACACCAAATCCCGTCCTGGTGCACGGCTCTTAATCCTCCCACCGTAAATAAATGGCTGAGGAGAAAGTGCGTAATAAATCCGCTCTCAACACTTTAAATGAAATACCTTGCACGGCCAGTCACTCGCGCTCTGTGGTTTCCAAAAAAAATCCCTCCGAAGAGACTAGATCCCGGATTGTCCACGGCCACTTCCAGATGCCATCTTGACTCTATTCCTCTTTCACTCGTCAAGTGCGTTTGCGATATCGATAGGATGGATGTCGATGTGGAATAAGACTGCCACCTCACTCCGGGTTACTACTGTATCTCGATTTGCTCTCCACACTGCGCTGCACACACACGTTCTCTTACACACATACACACACTTACGTACATACACAGACTCGCGCATGCAAGTCGATCGAGGGCCAGCCCCCTGGATCCTGTGCATGGGGTCGCCTTTTAAAGAGACACTGCAGTCCAACAGGACGGAGCTGTGTGTGCGCAGGTTGAGGCTGGGACACGTCTTGACATGTTAGAGAAAGGCACAGAAATATACAGAAATGTATAGAGGCACACAGCTGAAGAAATTAGGAACTATTAAAGTCCACTTGCATCAATTATATAAATTTACTGTCAAAGCAAGATCAGATGGGGGTTTACATGTCTTACTTTTGCTTCTGGTGTAACTCGACAAGCATGCTACAGGTTTTTAATTTGTTAGAAAGCATTCATCTTGATTCAAAGAAAAGGCTGTGACTGTCTCAATAAAAACGATGAATAAAACAATGACAGAATATTATTGCAGCAGTCCAATATGAAAAGCTATTTAGTTTATTATCATACAAAAGAGAGGTATGCTTAATAAAGTGCTTTTCAGGTTTAATCAATGATGTCATCTGAGTAATTCAACCCCTTGTTTACATATTATTAATATACAGTTATTCAATAAGAGATGAAACATAATATAAACAGTAACTTATATTTCAAATATAACAATACAATATCATGTTTGCTAGAGTCATGTGACTTTTGGTCTTTAGTATGTACACATTTTTTGTAAGTAGTATTGTGAGCTATTTGTTGGCCCTATTTGGTATATCGTACAAAATTAAGCTTATATTATATTACCTTATTGTTATTGACATGATGGTGCTTAATGATAAAGACATTTAAAACCCATTATCTCGTGATCGGATTTGAAGCTTAAACATCATATTTTGTATTCTCATCCCCCTCGTTGTTGCTACATCATAATGGATGATGGTACCTTTAATCAGCGGACCTCAGATTGTCAATCACGTGTGTCACCGCGCTCAGGCCACGCCCCTTTCTGGCGCCTGTTCCACATCCTTTAGAATGACGTCATGTCGTTTATTAGCCAGAGATAAGGGGAGAAATCCTAGATTGCTCTCCCTCCTGTAAACGGTGCTCTGGACCTCCTTCCCCCTCCTTCTCTTGCTCTTTCCCCCCCACCTCCTCCTCCGGATCAAAACAGCCTCGTCCACGGCTTCTTTGTTCCGAGTGCTGCCTGCCTTGCAAGGTGCGCGTCCATCTGCGCGTACTCGCGGTTTCTGTGCAGGAATGCGCGTTCACAGCTGACCATAACAAGATACCCTTTCAATATAACTGCATGGATTTATTGTGTCTATATGGCACTTGGATGGAATTTTGTATCTATTTATTTGACATTACAATAATGTTTTTATTATTTTTGAACATTATACTGTTATTGTTTTTGGCATGAATTAAATCTCCTGTATTGTATTCCTTGCACATCTGTAAATATGTTTAGGCCCCTTTTTCCTATCTTTTTTTGGGAGATCTTCATCACATTATTCACAGACACCAAGCTGACACATTTGCCCTCTAAAAAGGTCAGACCTTATTGTTTAACCGTGTTCATTGACACACATTTAACCGAGCAGATGTATACGCTCATTTCAACAGCAGTCTGGAGTCTGTACTGTACAGGATTACAGGCGGATAGTCAGTACACGTACCTCATATTGTGTGATGCTTTTTTGTTCCGTTCACATCAAAGAGAATACCTGATGCAGCAGTTTGGCTCCCGCAGAGAACTATAGAGTTAACTGCACACTGGATGTACAGACAGAGGTTAGGATGTCTGAGTGTGTGTGTGTGTGTGTGTGTGTGTGAGTGTGTCTGTGTTTGTGCAGATCTACTGTTTAAAGCCAACTGTATTAGACTGGGATATGTTTCTTCCTTTAAATCACACTATTTTGTTCTTCTACTAACATATTTGAATTCAGTTTATTCCCAATACATTGAAAGATAATTTGAAGTGTATACAATATTGGTCTACATTGATGATTATTCAGTAAAGTATTGCATTTGTTTCCTTTTGAACCAAATATGAAATGACCTGCCAAGGTAGAAACCATCTTCAATCCTTTTATGACTAAGCCATGTAACAGCTTTATTAAAAAAAAGCTTCTTTTTTTTTTAATGATTTTAACCGCGTTTCCTTTCGAGAACCAGCATTTGATTATTGGCTTCATCTTTTTGAGCACACCAATATCTTTCTGAACCCTATCGATGGTTTTAGGTTACTTTAGAGAACACAACACTGACTTTTATTTGCTTTTCCACCACAGACATTGGGAACTGAAATGCACCTTCTGTACGGCATGTGCAACAGTATAAGTGTCAGCCTTGTCCCCACAGTACCCTGCTGCAGTATCTCTGGCATTTGGCCAATATGTTCTGTGACAAGATAAGAACGCTTCCCCCTACATGCCCCTTTGAGTTTCCATAGTGTTGGGCAAGAACACATTCATGCACCCAAGCAAACAAATACACACACAATACCAAAACATTATTGCTCTTTCTCTTTACCAAAGACACATTTAACCAAGTAAGGGCAAGCAGCCATTAGAAAACATGACATAAGTCATTTACTAGTTTTGTAAAGTGTGCTATCAAATACAATTCGTACAATCTTATCAACATTTAAGGCACGTTTTAGGACATCCTGTGATGTATCCTAAGCCCCCTAATTTAATGTAAAACCAGAAGATAAATTATTGGTATTTTTTATAAATGTTTGTTCCATTTTGTACTAATAAGACAAAGAGAAAGAGACAAAAGGTGAAGTGTGTTCCATCTTCCCTCCATCAGCATGGGGTATCAATACATTGGTCCAGATGGATGGAGACTGCGACCCCTCTAAGCCGGCGTGATTTATCCAATTAAGACAATCACAAAGCGCGCGGCAGCCATCTCTGTTTGTGTCTGATGTTTCCCCCAGCGTAATGCTCTGATTGGATTAGGGGCCTTGGCATGGGCGTGATTGATTTTTCTTTAATTGAGAGTTATGGTGGGAGGGCCTTGCTACAGACTCAAGTGCTTTTATTGACACACGTCATGTGCATGCACCCCTGCACACACCTGCAGACACACAGCCATCAACCCCCACCATTATATATAAGGATTGTATAAATACTTTAGTGGTTTGCACATTTGCTGCCTGGTACAAATGCAGTATCTGGCATAATGCTCTTGTTCTGGATACTGTAGGTGCTGCTCACTGTTCTGACTGTATTGTCAGGATGGGCTGGTCCAGGCTGGAGTGGTGCACTAGAATGACCTCATCTTTACATGGACGCAATAACAAACCATGTTGTGATTGGTTGCCCTCTGCTGCCACCTAAAGGCATACAGGAAGAAGTAAAAAAATATCACAGTTAAAAAAAATCTATCCGCCCTATAATCGTACCTAAAATATGGATGAAAATCTAGGAAGATGTTGATGTTCTTTCCAACAAAAAGGAGATTACCCATTAACCTTTAAATGAGGATACCGTTTTAATGTTTAATCTGCTCAAATTGGGAAGGCAAGATGTCAGTTTCAATTTTGGTGCAAGAGGGCTTCTAGGGAAATTAATGTACCTTTTAAAATTGTGCAATATAATATATGTTTTGCAGGACTGAAGCGTTTTCTTGGCATCTCGTAAAAAAAAGTAAGGAGGATGCTAAGATGCAAAAACATTACATTTTATCAAATGAACAAAAAACTAATGTGAAGTAAATGCCACTTTGCAACTTACTTAAGGTTTCGGATCTGATTTATTTTTAATCACACCTGCATGACATTATTTCTGAAGAAATCTGGACTGAAGAATGCAAATTGTTTGAGATTACAATTTTAATAGTGTTATAACGCAGTAGTTGTGTATACTATTAATTCCCCCTTCCAAGCTGCACAGTGTTAGTAATAGCAACTGTAAGTCAAACATCTTGCTAACAGGACGCCAAATTAAGAATAGTTCTATTTGTATCTGCAAAGCTCTTGATATTCATTGATATAATACATAGATCAATATCATTCATACCATTTTAAATTCAAAAGTCAGAGACTGTGTATTTAACATTTTTTCAACTTTGTCCACTAGAGGGCGGCAGCCACCTAGTGTGAGGGACTCCTCTCTGGAGTGTTTGCCTTGTGGTTCTCACATGTTGGAGGTGTAAATATGTTTTAATAGAATCTTCCACAAGGGGGAGAGAGCACACCTCTCAGCACAGGAAAAGAGTTCAACGCACAGTGCGGACGTCAGATCCAAAATCAGAAACCGGTATCTAGTGTGTGGTGTCGGTAGTTAGTGAGGTACTTTGTTGTCTGGAGGTATGTATGACTATGAGGCAGTCAGCAGGATGTGAGATGTTCATGTTTCCTTTCTGCGACTGCGATCTCCGTTTATCCAGTATGACTCCGTCTGCATCTCCATCAGTCTGGAGACGGTCCTCTGGAAGGCAAAGATCTCCTCCTCAGCCGTGAACAGAGTCAGGTTCTCCGCTGCCTTCTGAAGAGAGGACACAATACTAGAGTTAGAGGCTGATATACTTCAATACAATTTTTATTCAAACATATTTTGGCTAAAGGAGAAGTTTAAGGAGCTGGATTAAGAAAATGAAATTGCCTGTTTCATTCTTAAACATGCAGGATTAGTATGTGTGAGAGCTAAATCCTCTTTGTTGACATTAACATAGTGTCGGTTAAACTTTAATGATAATGTAATACTTTTATAAGCAGCCATTAAAAATAGGTAAAGGAAACCTGTGTTTTGGATGAAAAACTTCCCTTACCATTAACACCGCTGCAATGATGTACAATGTACATGCACCCACTAATACACTATTGACTAACAAACAACCCACTGGTTGTTATTCTCATGAAAGTGCAGCTCACTGTAAATAGAAATCAGTAGTGGGATTTTTTAAATTTTATATTTGAAACTGTGCATTTATTGCATATAGAAGATGAGGGTTTTCCTGCCAGTTTAACTTGTTGTGTTGTGTTGTAGCACATGTGATTTACCCCGCTGAGACCCAGGTCATCCAGCAGTTGTCTGTCCCTCTCATCGTCCCCTCCTTTATGGACGAACAGCTGCTCTAAAGGAGTAGCAGCCAGCAGCACCACTCTCACCTGGGACACAGAGGGGGGGAAAGACACAGTAATGTCCAGTTTAGTTATATAGGTCACTTCCTTTTGTATTAACAATGACTTCTTCTCATGTAATCAATACTACATCAGAGAAGATAACCATTCAATCATTATTTCCTTAAAATGATATATCTTTGGTCACTTTGAAGTTCCCCTGAGTCAAGTGTATATTGACTCTTTTTATAGATTGAAATTTCCTCTTCGATGCTATGATGAATTTATTAATAAAATGACAGTTCATGGGAAGTGAGCCAATATGAAGTCGACACTTGTGGTCTTTTAGTGGTACGATAATATAGTAATATTATTTTTTGCAGAAGAGTATTGGTTTACTATTTCATTTCAGTGGTCTATTCTGTCATGAAACACATTCGTTTTGTTTCTGGGGGGGCATTTCATGCGTTTGTTCTACAATTAACATCAAAGAAGAGAAGGGAAGAGAGATAGGGGGTGAAATACAAAAAAGCCGAAAGCTGGACATAAACTGTTCAGCGTTTTAATCCTTGGCCAAAAAGGCAGATTTTAACCTTTTTTATGTGAAATTACATTTGTATTTTTGTCTCTTTTATCACCCAATTTAAGTTAGGACAGATTGATGGAGCACCTTGTTGTCGTAGAAGTTGTCTATGAGGGTGGTGAAGCGTCTGGCCTGGTCCTTCAGGGTAAGTGTCAGCACGGGAATATGGCGAATGAATACGGTGTCAAAGAACCGAGCCATTTCCAGGTAGTCACTGGCACCCAGAGGCTGAGAAAAAAACACGTTAGCAGGTTAAATTAGCTGAACATCACAATGCAGAGAATAGTTTCACTGTGTCCTTGTAAACACAAACACGCACTAGGAACGCTGTGGTGTGCGTGTTTGCCCTGAAGTGCAAACGGAGCGCTTGGGGCACCTTGTGCAAAGAGCTCGGG